GTGTTCGAATCATACTTGCAGCTCATGCGCGGGGTGCCGCGCGCACATGCACGCACACACAAGTGATGCGGCGCATTAAAAAAATAGAGAAACAAAAATGTCCTCGTTGTGTTCAGCCTCTTTTCGAAAGGATCCCTAGAGTATATTAGCTAGGACCCGACGTCATGCAGAGATACACTTCAACCTTGTACTCCCTGAGGGTGGCCAGAGAATATATAGTCTAGATTCGAATTCAGGTCTGTGCATGTCGGTTATGGGTCATCATTTCTCTGTTTTTGCGCTTTTCTTTTCTTTTCTCGTTTTTCTTTTCTTAGGAATACGTGCAGTGGCCCTAAGGGCCTTTACTCACCAAATGCACAAAAGACAAAACATATGGTGGCGTATTATTCCACGTTCTGCAGAAGATTCATTCTAATTTTGCACATTTCGTGAGTGGTGCAGTCAAGCCCTAAGAGTCACGTGCAGAGACCAACAGGCCCTAGCTACGTGAGCAACCCATAACTGCTGAAACACAGACCTGAATTCGAAACTTGACTACATATTCGGCCAGCTCGTGGTCTTTTTCATATTCACTACCTGCCTCGATTTAGGTGGGGGGGTCTGCGCTACATATATGCGACGACCCTTCGGATAGCCTGCATGGGCCGTATGAGCCATGTTAAGGGGAACCGTTATGTCTCTCTCTCTCTCTCTCGCCCCCCCTTGTATACACACACACCCCTTACAAAAAAAAAAAAAAAAAAAAAAATGCATCTGCGCCCATCACAGACACCCCCTCAACCCCAGCACCCCCCACCCACACCAACCCCCCCATCCCCACACCAAAACCAAAATTTTATTGCAGATTCGGGGTCCTCTCGCCGAGCGCAGAACGACCCCGGTTTCGAAAAAAAAATAAAAATAAATTCTGGGCGGTTTTTTGTCCTGCCCGGTTAACCCGGGCGGGCCCCCCTGGCCCAACCGGCTGGGCCCAGCCCGGCAGGGCAGGCCCGGCCAGGCGGCGTCCTCACTCAGTAAAAAAAACAAATTCAAGGTCTCCCATGTCTTAGATTGGTTGAGCGGAGAGTGCCCAACTCATCCATCTGCTTAATACCCACTTCCACTTCAAAACAAATCGGTGGGCAGCTTGAGAGCAATTCGCTTATCAACATGCGCTAAGACGTTCACAAGCAATCAAAATGTCCATAATCATCAACCATGTAAAAAGTTAAAAACCTCCGCATCTTGTGCACCAAAACAGTGCCCTGTCTCTTCGTCTTAAGCACAAACACAGCACCCACAGTTTCACATACAAGGAGGCCCCACCAAAG